TGAGCCACCAGCGCCCGGCAATACCATTAATTTTTTAATGATTACTTGATTAACTTTTTCTGTGATTAATTGAAGATAAGAATCTCACAGACTTTCCTGCCCTAGCTGGCTTCGAATCATGATCATTGGATCTCAGCCTCATCAGTAGCTAGGATTACAGGCCTGAGCCAGAAGCACCTGACTCTACATCCCTTTTTACATAGACCTTTTGGGCTTCTCTTAATAATCCTCTAAACTTCTGTCTTTCCAATTTTCTAGTCTTTCTAATTTCCTTGCTGTATCAGGCCAGCTGTTGGTTACAAAATGGAGTTTCAACATACCCTGCTTTGTTTTCATAACAATATTGCTCCCATGACTTGGCCCACTGACTACCCTCCAGCCCAGAATCTTAATGTAAATATGAAAGTCCACTCCTCCACACTGTCAGATGATGGGCACCTGAGAGACTTGCTCAAACAATAGTTTCCTGGAGACAGAGCTGCACCATAAACTTGTAAAACTCTTTGAGCCCTCCAGCTACCTGGGACCCTGCCTTACCCATGACCTTAAGTCCTTCCACTCCTGTCCCCCATGATGCCTCATGGTTCCTGACTCTCCTCAGATCATGGTGGTGTCTCTCTTCAACATTCCATTGAGATTGATCTGGTCTGTTGAGGTCATTTTCAGCTTTTTCTTTATTCTAATACCCTCATGACTCAGTTTCCTAACGCAGGGGATCCTCCACATTCAATCCTGAGTATTTTCTCACTTGCTCCTTTAGTTTACTAAAAAATTCAGCAGAACCTTCGCTTTACCTTGTTTGAGGACCAGGGAACCAGCTTTTTGATCCTTTTTATAATTAAGTCTTGCATGTGACTTTATGAATGGCTCATTGTTATCCTGCTGGGGAACTTCACATCTGCAGGAAGGATATTGGTGGGTGTTTGCATACTCCAGTCATCATAAGTGCCCTTCTAGTCCTTCCTCTTTATTCCTGGAGAGCTGGAGGACTGCTGGTAGACTCATATCTCAAAGACCAGCAGCCCCAAATGCAGCTTAGCACAAAGCTTATATAGGTCAAAACCACACAAGGTGTGTGGAATCAAACCCAACAAAAGTGTTATACATAACCAAAGCAAACCAGATGAGGACACTTAAACCTAATAGAAAAGTAAATCATCTAGGGAAACAATCTGGGAGATCAGGGGCCAATTATCTAGGGCAAATATTGAGCCAATATCCTTACTTGAGTGCAATCTTATGGAGACTGATGTACACTCCTCTCTAAGAAAACAAAATTATCAATATAAACAGAGTCATCTTAATTAAAACAAGGAACAAGTACAAGTTATCCATTTGTAAGAGTTGGTAAATTACTAAAAAAAATCACAAAACCCAGGAAAATATCATATTTTACTAATTGTATGAAATGTTTATATGATCCCATCAACTAACTTCAGGACATCACAAGTCAAATCTTATTTCTTCTAAAATTACCTAAATACCCCTTTCTATGGGCAAAGCCCCCAAATTACATTTTAATTGCATTTTTTTCTTCTTACCCTGTATCTTTGTGTCACATTCCTGGGTCAGGGGTTTGATGGCCATCATTATCCAAGACATTTCTGCCAGAGGTTGGTCATCAGTGATAATGAATGAGAAATCACCAGATAAAATGTGTAGCAATAGGCCAAGAGTGGTGGCCCATGTCTGTCTTCCCAGTGATGCAGGAGATATAGGTAGGTGCATCATCATCCCAAACTGACCTGGGGAAAATATGTGAGACCTTATCTAAAAGCAAAAAGGACAAGAAGTATGACACAAGTGGTAGAGCACAAAGTCCTGAGTACATTTCCAATTCTGCTTTTCTCTTAACATTAGTGAGGTTTTTGTTTCATTTCTCTTCAGGTTTTTGAGATTAGGTTTTATTATGTAGCCCAGGGGTGATCTCCAGCTTGACCACTTGACACATATTTCTAGTCCACTTTTTTTTCTGGTTATCTTGGAGATGGCATCTCAAGGACTTTTCTGACAGAGGTGGCTTTTTTTTAAGTGGCAAGTATTTTTGATTGAATGTCATTGTTTATAAATAATACATACACATACAGAATACATATACAAGATGAAAGTCCAAACACACCTAGAGTAACAACTTGACACAAGGAACATTTGGTGCTTCTTTTTTTCTTCTGTGGGTGAGAGCTGTTCCACACAAGATAAGATCGTGGTGGATTGCTAATAAGATCGTGGTGAGATTGCTATTAGCATTGTGCAAGGAATCTATTACAATTAGTCAGTGCAAGGCATCTCTTCTGAATGGATTCTGGGGAAGGAGTAAAGTACTCGGGCAGAATTGATTTAGGGAGAAAGAAAAAACAACAAAGAAATCACTTATGGTGAGGATCAATATTGTATTTCATCTTTGAAAAAAGATTTTTACCCAAGAGCTAAAATATGAGACAACATTGTTCTAATAAATATTAGCAGCTCGTTTCAAAGCAACTGAATCCTTCACTGCTGTGGAGCACCAGAGGAACCCCTGCCTGCCAAGGCCTCGCTGCACTGTTCAGAAACAGGAGTAGATTCTCTGGAGAGGGCTATGTGTGGTCACATAGTGGTGACAGGGAAAGACATCTGAGGTCCAAGAATGCACAAAGCCATGACAAATGGCTGTCTGTTCTTCTTACTTTTCTAGTATGACCTGCTCCACCTGCTTAAATTCTTTCAGCTCCACAACCAGTTCCCAGTACTTGAGATACAACCACATGAGCCTCCCATTTGGGCATTTGTTGGTGTCCCAGACATCTCCACAATGCTTATCACGCTTAAATATGTCAGTTAAGCCAGCTTCCATCTCCAGGTCAGTGGTCCATGGAAGCATGCACCAATAAGTTCTTTTCTAGTTGCAGCTGTACACTACAGGGGCAAATTGGACTGCAGTAGATGTTCTGTCTTTCCACAAGAGCCTCTCCTATCTCCTTCAGCATGAGCTCGGCTTTCCTTTGCCAGTCCTGCCTCTCTTCCAGACAGCTCAGATACACACTCCTTGGAGGCTGCAACTGACTTTTTTCTTGCATTACTTGAGCCTGGTCCTGTTCTAGAAGCTTCCTTCCTTCCACCAACTTGTGCCCTGAGAGATAGATTCCAAAGACAGCTGAGAACAACTCTTCAGTGTTTTGAGATGACAGCATGGTACTTGGCTTCAAGGTCCTGTTGGAAAGCAGCTGTTCTCTGATGTTCTCTTTTGTTATTTCTTTCTGGAACTCTGAAATGCTAATTCCAGCACTGGTACCAATTAGCATAATTCCACCTGCTCCCATCACCTCTGTCAACTCTGGAATTAGGCAGGAAGTTCCAATTTGGGGGATCATTTAAGTTATTCATGGAGAAATTAGCTCAGGGAGCCCTGGCTGAGTCCGCCCAAGCCCTGGGCCAGCTCCCCCACAAATTGCTGCGGATGCTTCCAGGTGTGCCCAGGGCTGGCTTTGAACTGCAATCCTGAGCTTCTTTTTGCTCAAAGCTAGCACTCTACCATTTGAGGCTCAGCATTACTTCTGGCTTTTTCTGGTTATGTAGTACTGAGGAATCAAACCTAGGGCTTCATGAATGCTAGGCAAGCACTCTACCTCTGAGCTACAACCACTTTGCTGCCAGACCTTAACCCATAGTTCTACTTCTGGCTTTTTAGTGGTTAATTGGAGGTTGAAAGACTTTTCTCCATGGCCTGGCTGTGAACAGAGATCCTTAGAGCTCAACCTCCTGAGTAGCTAGGGATTACCTGCTTGAGCTCCCAGTGCCCAGCTGATTGTGCAATTTTTGAAGACTTTTAGGTGATTCCAATGTGTAATGAAATTTGGCACAGGACAATTGTTAGTGTTGTTGTGTTGCTAGGAGGTAGTAAGTTAGCCCAGGTGTATAGGTTGCTGTGAGAAAAACTGTTGCTTCAAAGTTCTTGCTTTGGCCAGAAAGTGAAAGAGGAACTCCTTTGAGATAAGGAAGGAGTTTTGTCTTAACTGTTTTTTTTTTTTCCAAGATGGAATTAAGATACACCTCAGAAGACACATCTCAGATTGTTCTCTAAATAGCTGGGTGTGTGGTTATGTTTTGAGATGACTTGTGTACTGCTAATCTTATTCCAAAGTCTTTTCACCGTCATCTTATATAAATAGATTTTACCCGATTCAAACTAGCCAATCTTGGACAGGGAACCTGAGCTCAAGCAGTCAGAGCAGAAGTGCATTAATGATAAATAAGAAGCTGCCTGCTCTGTCTACGAGCTTGCCACGTTTTTGGCTGATGGTGTACCCTTTTGCAGAAGTAAAATTGGCCTTGCTGAGATGATGCTTTATTCTCGTGTCTACTATTGTGACTCCAGTGGTTCTTGGAGATTGTATTTATAACTATGCTTCCTTGAATACCGAGGGGGAAAACAGCTCTCAATTCAAATTCGTGATCGAGCAGCACACCTGGAGCCTATCTATAGTGTACATGTACTGAATGTGCTGATTTTTCAATGACCTATAAAACTAGGCAATTAGCAAACACCAATCAGTCGTGGAAGTAATTGACTTCCAATGTTTTTTTTGTCTTTTTTTTTTTGCTTTTGGTGATAGTATGGAACCCATGGATTTCCGCATGCTAGCTAAGCTACCATGGAACTATGCCCCAAAGCCCTTATCTAGTTTGATCACTGATGCATCCTCAGAGGCTCTGATACTGCCTGACACACAGTAGGTTCTTAGTGAATGCTTTACAAATAAGTTGCCCCGTCAGGAGCTCCAGGAGCTCCTACTTGGGTTTGCAACAGCGCAGCGGATTACTGAAATCCACTTTCATTGGAATTGCCTGGAGGGCGTGGCCTCCCTGGGTTTGGGTCTGTGCTGGGAAACAGCCCGGGCAAGCTCCACCCACAATTCCTCCCGAAGACCAGCCCTAATAAGGTCAGGCTCAGCGGATGCTCGTGCGCATGCGCATCTCTTGAGAGCCAGCGACGGCTCCGCCCAGCTCGCTGATGGGGGCGTGGCAAAGGCCGGGCTGAGGGAAGGGGCGGGGCGGAGGCCCGGGTGAGGGAAGGGGCTGCCGACCTGAGCGGCTGGAGGCAAGATGCAGGTGAGTACGGCCGGGACGGGGTGAGCCTGGGAGCTGGGGGGCCGAGGGGGGGTCTGTCTCGGAGGGATCGCGCCCGTGGCGGGCACTAAGGCCGATGGGAAGCGAGCGGAGCGGCGCTGCTAGACCCGGGAGGCCGCGTGCGTCCGGGCCCCCGCGCGCGTCCGGGCCCCCGCGCAGGCGCAGTGCGGAGGAGCGAGCTGCCCCGCGTTGAGGTCGGTCTCCTCGGGACCTGCGAAGGAGTGGCCCGCGCAGTTGGCACCACTGACTTCCTGTGTGTGTGGACCCAGACCTAGGCGGAAGCGGGGCTGGGAGCGGTGAGGCGCCCGCCCGGGGCTTTTCACCCCGCGAGCCGGGTGGAAGCGCCGTGGACGTGGCGCTGCTCTCGCTGTGTTAGGGCTTGGTTAACGCTCTTCACCCCAACACTGGAGCTGAGATGGGGGTGCCTCTTTAGCTGCTCCCCTCACATCCAGAACTGGACTCCAGGGGTCATGGGGCCTGAACTCTGGGCCTGGGCGCTGTCCCTCAGCTCTTCAACTCAAGGCTAGCACTCTACCGCTTGAGCCAAGCACCACTTCCGGTTTTCTAGTGGTTTATTGGAGATTAGAGTTTCATGGACTTTACTGCCTGGGCTGGCTTTGAACCCTGATCCTCAGATCTCAGCCTCCTGAGTAGCTAGGATGACAGGCGTGAGCCACCGGCGCCTGGCTAGTATCCTTTAGTTTATTTTTTCTCTACCCCCTCACCCTACCTCCTGCCCAAGACCAGTCACATCCTCCCAGACTTCACTGTGGCCTGATACTAGGAATGGTTTTTTTTTTTTTTTATTGTGAAAACATTGTACAGAGGGGTTACAATTACATGGGCAAGATAATGAGTACATTTCTTATCAAGGATTGTAGCCTCCTCCTTTGTTCACCCTTTTTTGGGAAATGTAGATGGCATCTCCTTGGTGGTGGAGAGGAGCACTGGGGGTTTGAGGAAGGACACTACAAATACAGTAAGTTTGTCTTTAAAAGAACATGACAAGAAGCTTCAGGACAGCCTGCGTCTCCTTGTTTATTCTTCCAGTTCCTGACTTTGGGTAGTATGGTGGAACAGGCCTGTAATCCCAGTTCCTCAGAAGCCTGAGATCTGAGGACTGTGGTTTGAAGTCAGCCCAAGAAGCAAAGTCTGTGTGACTCCTAACACCAAATAATGGCCAAAAAGCCAGACGTGGGGCTGTAGCTCAAATGGTAGAGGGCTGGCCTTGAGCAAAAAAAACTCAAAAGATGGTGCCCAGGTTCTCAGTTCAAGACCCAGGAAATACACACACATGCAACTTCTTCAGAGGTCTCTGACCTGTTGATTGTTTTTTTTTTTCCTGATAAATAAATCTCAGCAAGATGGAGGCACACAAGATGGAGGCTGAGGCTTGGTTATCCAACTGCTCTTAACCCCAGTGCTCCATATTCCAAACCAAGTTTGAGCTCTGTTAGCAGTGTTCCTATCAAACCACACAAGCTCAACTTGGGCCACTGAGTTCATAGCCAAGGGCCCACTTTGACATATGTCATTCTGGTGTTAACAGTTTGACTGTTAAGCATGGCAGTATCTGTGTGTGCGTGTGTGCATGCGTGCGCACACTTAGGTACCAGTCCTGAGACTTGAACTCAGGGCCTAGGTGCTGGGCCCTGAAATTTTTTGCTCAAGGCTAGTGCTGTACCATTTGAGCCACCCTGCTCCACTTCCGCATTTTTTTTGGTGATTAATTGAAGAGTGAAGGATCTGCCTCTCCCCTCTAGGCCCAATCTTTTTATGTACCTAAAGATGGCATATGAAGGATTGAGTCCTGCCTTATTACCCAGGGTCAAACAAAGCACCAGGTGTGTACTCACATGCTCAGCAGGCAGATCATTTCCACCCTGGCCTCCAGGAGACAGTAACCCCCAACACCCAGCATTCCACTGTGAGCTTGGCCAGGACATTGCCCTTGATCCCAAGGAGACCATATCATATTTTTTATTTTCCACTTCCTTCTTAAGCCCTATCTAAGCCTACCCCAAAATCCAGTCCCTCTAAACCCTCAGGAACATATGTGCCCCTTCTTGTTCCTCAAGAAACAGTCCTTACCTGTTGATGATCGAGTCAGGCCTATTCCTATTCTGTTCTCCATTTTCCCAACAAAGAGGAGAGTCCAAGAACTTTTCTTGCTGGGCTGGGTTTGAATGGTGATCCTCAGATCTCAGCCTTCTAATTACCCAGGATTATAGGTGTGAGCCACCAGTGCCTGAGAGCATGGCAGTAACTTTTTTTTTTGGGTCCGGTCGTGGGGCCTGAACTCTGGGCCTGGGTGCTGTCCCTCAGCTCTTCAGCTCAAGGCTAGTGCTCTACCACTTGAGCCACAGCGCCACTTCCGGCTTTTTCCTTTTTGCTTATGTGGTGCTGAGGAATCGAACCCAGGGCCTTGAGCATGCAAGGCAAGTGCTCTACCACTGAGCCACCTTCCCAGCCCGCATGACAGTAACTTTATGACCACAGTGCTTCACATATGCTTGGGAGGGTTGAATAGACCTAAGTCAAGGGCTTTAAAGACTACTTATTGCATAGTGTTCTGTTAATGTTATTAGTGCTTAATAAACGTGGGCTGTTAGGAGAGACTCCAAGGGCATCAGCTCTACTAACTCTGGCCTTTAGAGAATGCTGTCAGGCTAATTTGTCTTTCTCCAAGTCTACTACATTATACCTTTGAGATGCTCAGAATGTCATCTTCTTTTAAAGGTGCTTTGTAACTACAAAACCAATAGCCTATTTGACATCATGTTTGTCACGACCTGTTTTGCTGTAGTTTGATGTGCTTGTTCACTGCTTGTCTCTTCCTTTGTAGTAATGTAGGTGACTCTTGGGTTGCCACACTTTACTATGGCTTTCTGTATAGTATCTGTTACATGAATCACTACAAGTCATTAATAAAAATACTGAATGAAAACATGTCAGAGACTTGATTTCAATGTTGATTCTGATTTACATATTATGCTAGTGTATGTGTGTGTGTGTGTGTGTGTGTGCACGCACACATGCATGCACTCTTGCATGCACGCTTGCGCCAGTCCTGGGCTTGAACTCAGGACTTGGTTGCTATCCCTGACCTTTTGTGGTCAAGGGTAACACTCAACCACTTGAGCCACAGCTCCAGTTCTGGCTTTTTGGTGGTTAATTGAATATAAGAGTCCCAGACTTTCCTGTCCAGGCTGACTGCAGACCTTAGTCCTTAGATCTCAGCTTCCTGAGTAGCTAGGATTATAAGTGTGAGCCAGTGGCTCTCAGCTATATCCTAATAGTTTTTTTCTTTTTTGTCAGTTTGGGTCTTGCATTCAGGGTATGGGTGCTGTCCATGAGCTCTTTTGCTTATGGCTAGTGCTCAACTACTTTGAACCACAGCTCAAAGTTTGAGTAGTTAATTGGAGATTAGAGTTTCAGAGGACTTTTCTGCCCAGGCTGATGCCTGGCTATATCCTAATTTTTTTTACCCTAAAACCAGCTCTTCCATGAGGGAAGAGCAGAACAGGAATTGCGGTTCTTTTTGACACTTTCTCAGAAATAATTCTTAGAAGATTTTGGCTTAAATTCCTCCTTTCCCATTGCTTTACCCACTTGGTCCCTTGTTACAAATGGTACCATTCATACTAGGCTTGGCACTCATGGTATTCTTGGCCCTGTTCTAGGACCCCAATGCAGACACTGAGTGGAATGACATCTTACGCAAAAAGGGCATCCTGCCTGCGAAGGAAAGTCTGAAAGAGTTGGAAAAGGAGGCAGAAGAGGAGGAACAGCGAATCCTCCAGCAGTCAGTAGGTGAGTGTTCCCTCCTACTGCTGTAATAAGAGGATCTTCTGACATTGTCACTGTGGGACTTTAGGCCAATCACAGCATCTCTTAAAAACATCACCATTAGGGGAACATCACAGATGTCCATCAATCCTTATGTTGATCACAAGTGATACTTTTTTTTTTGGTCGGTCATGGGGCTTGAACTCTGTGCCTGAGCACTGTTCCTGAGCTCTTCAGCTCAAGGATAGCTCTCTACCACTTGAGTCACAGTGCCACTTCTGGTTTTCTGGTGGCTAATTAGAGATAAGAATCTGTCTCATGGACTTTCCTGCCCGATCTGGCTTTGAACCATGATCCTCAGATCTCAGCCTCCTGAGTAGCTAGGATTACAGGTGTGAGCCCCTGGTACCCAGCACAAGTGGTATTCTTGTGAGTATATAACCTCACTTTTGATAATGCCATGGAAACTTTTTCAGTTTTTACTGTTCATATTTTCCCATGGTTGTAATTAATCGTTGTGGTTTGGCTAATGTGTGAAAGCGTCCGTTACTAACACATAGTACTTTTCTCAAAGATGGCCTCACTGCTTCACTTAGAATGTATGTTCAGATATTCCCAGTTGCTCCAGAGTCCAAATCTCTGAGGCAAGAATCTACACAGTCTTTATTTACTTTTGCAGTGGTGGAGATGGAATCCAGAGCTTTGCATACGCTAGCTAGGCATATTTTCTACCACTGGTACATATACTCAGCTCTGAATCTACAATTTATTTATTTTTTTTTTTGTCAGTCATGGAGTTTGAACGAGGTACTGTCCCTGAGCTTTTTTGCTCGAGGCTAGTGCTCTACCACTTTGAGCCATATCTCCACTTACAGTTTTCTGGTGGTTAATTGGGGGTAACATTCCAAGGACTTTCCTGCCCATGCTGGTTTTTGAACTGTGATACTCAGATGTCAGCTAAGATTACAGACTTGAGCCACCAGTGCCTAGTTCTGAATCTACATTTTAAATAAGAGCTTTAAAGGGTTTCAAGTATATGCCACCATTTGAGAACTATTGGTCACAGGAATTTGAACTCTTGTTTTCTACTTTTACATGTGGGAGCTGATTTAGAGAATTATTAGGTAATATTTAACCAGAGAAGTGTTATTGAATGATGACTGTGTGTCGGTTGCAATGAAGATTTAGTGATGTACTGACTAGACAAAATTCTCAGCCTTCCTGGAACTTCAGTTCCTGTAGTGGAAGCTGACAGTTAACAGTAAGGGAAATAAGAATGGGAAAGGGGCGAGAAAGGTTGGAAGGGGGTAGCTATAATAATAGAGAGGGCCTCACCAGATGACACTTGGTGGATGAGAGGAGGTGTGGTGAGGTACTTCAGCAAGGGAGAAGATGGCCTGAGATGTTAAGAGGATCTGAGGAGGCCAGTAGTGCTGGGGAGACTGGGAGAAACAATTAACAAAGGCTGCAAAGGGCCCAACCTGCATGTCTTAGTAAGGGCTATGGCTTTCAGGAAGTCACTCAAGTTTTGGGGCCTCCATTCAGGACATCACATTCTCATTTGACTTTTTTGCATGCAACTGGTGTTTTTCTGCTTGAGTCATGCCTTCAGTTCCAGCTTTTCCCCCTCCTCCCCCTTACTTTTGTTGGTTGTTTGTAGAGCTCTTAACTCGGGGCCTGGGAGCTATCCCTTGAGCAAGCTCTTTTGCTCAAGGCTTGCATTCTACCACTTTGAGCCACAGTGCCACTTCTGGTTTTCTGGTGATTAATTGGACATAAGAGTCTCAGACTTTCCCACCCAGGTTGCTTTGAACCGCCGTCTTCAGATCTCAGCCTTCTGAGTAGCTAGGATTACAAATGTGAGCCACCAGCCCCCCAGAGCACCTAGAGTCTCTCAGATTTGTCTGCTTGGGTTGCCTCTGAACCTCCATCTTCAGATTATAGTCTCTTGAGTAGCTAGAATTACAGGTGTGAGCTATCTATGTCTGGCTTGTCCTCATTTTGATACCACTATCCTACTGCTGCCTTACTGAGCTAGAATTTTATGAGACGGGCAAGACAGAAAGCAAGGAGACCTGTCTGAAAACTCAGGCCAGACTGAGAGATACCGTTGTCTTCAGCTGGGGAGGTGGTGATGGAAGTGAGAACTGATCAGAGCTAGATGTATTTTGACATTAGGGACAACAGGGTTTGTTGATGGACCTCCCTGTAATGCTGTAGGATAAAGATGATTCCTGCTGGGCTTGGGCAGCCTGAGGATGGAGCTGTCACCAAATGTTGTGGGCCATGTTAACTGTGGTCTTGTTAGACAAATAGAGATAGTAAGTAGGAAGTTGGGTTTGTTTTTCTCCAGTTAGAGAAGTCTGAGCTGAAGGCAAAGCTTAGGACATTGTCAGCGTGTCCATAGTATTTAAAGTTAGCTCATTGGTGCAACACCAAGAGAGTAAGTATAGATAAAGAAGAAAAGAAGTCAACTGTGCCCTGGGGAATTTTAATCCATAAAAGATTCAACTGATTTAAGCCACTGACAGGAATGGCCTAGGATCAGATGCTGCTCATTATCAAGAAACGTTGGTCATTAAGGATTCAGGTGGACCTGTTGCAACAATGAGAAGTACAAAATGTCATGTCAAAACCAGCTTTACAATGTCGGTGGGGGGGGGAGGGGGGTATGATTGGGTGGGGGGGAGGGGGGAGGCTGGGAAGGGAGGTGAAGGGTAAACAAAGGAGGAGGCTGCAATGCTTGGTAAGAAATGTACGCATTATCCTGCCCATGTAATTGTAACCCCTCTGTACAATATGTTCTCAAATAAAATAAAATTAAATTAAAAAAAAAAACAAACAAACAAAAAAAAGAAACGTTGGTCACTTGCCAAGATGCTGGTGGCTCTTGCCTGTAATCCTAGCTATTCAGGAGGCTGTAACTCAGGCAGAAAAGTTCATGAGACTCTTGGTTCAGGTGATAGAGCACATGAGACCCTTATCTCCAACTAACCAGCAAAAAGCTAGAAATGGAGCTATGGGTCAGGTGGTAGAGCACTAGCCTTGAGTGAAGAAGTCAAGTGATAATATGAAGCCCTGAGTTCAAGCCCCACCACCCTAATACAAGCATGAACTCACATACACAAAGACATACAATGTAGGTCCCTTGAGTTTGGTGAACTTGCTTAGAGGAGACAGAGTATAGCCTAAAATGTCCATAAATAAGAAAGGGTATTTATGGCAATAAAATGAGATAACATTTCATAGCAATTGGGTAGAAGAAAAGCTAGAGCTGCCTGCCGTTCATAAGAAAAAACTAAGTATACCTTTAACACTAGGAAAGGTGTGCTTTGGGAAGACCCTAGTATTCTCCTCTGTTCCTTGGATCATATGAGAACTACTGGTACGCCCAGCCAAGACTAGATCCAAGTCTTTTTTTTTTTTAATTTTTTATTGTAAAAATAGTGTACAGAGGGGTTACAGTTACATGAGCAAGGTAATGACATGTGAAAAACTTATCATTTATACTCATTATTGTATGGAGATCAGATGTGTCACATGGTAAAACCATCTTAATGTAGGTCTTTTTAAAAATACTTCCAACTTTTTGTGTGTATTACAAGTGGGACTTGACTTTGGAGCCTTGAGCTTTTGCGCAGCTTTTTCTACTTTTTGCTAATCCTCAACCATGGCTCCAGTTCCAGCTTTCTGCTGGTTAATTGGAAATAGAAGAGTCTCTCAGACTTTTCTGCCTGAGCTGGCTTTGAACCATCATCCCAAGATCTCTGCTTCCTGATTAGCTAGGATTATAGGCATGAGCCAGTAGTACTGGCCCAACTTCTTATATACTAGTGAAATATCTTAAACAAGTTTTGTCTTGGTGGGATGCTGGTCTTATGATGTGTGCACATACATCTTTAGCAGAAAAGTGAAAACCCCCAAATGCTTATTTGTTCCTCTTTTTGATGTTTTACCTTTGCCAACATCACACAATGCAGTGAAAACGTATGAAGATATGACTTTGGAGGAGTTGGAAGAGAATGAAGATGAATTTAATGAGGAGGATGAACGGGCTATTGAGCTGTACAAGTGAGTCCCACAAAGAAGCAATGATTGCTATTCTGGATGGTGATAAATTGTGTGTCCTTTGAGAAAGTTAATTTGAGATATAATTTGGAAAGGATTCCCATTCAACAATAATATTGTATATTTCAGTGAACTGCCCTATAGTAAGTAGATTAGCCTGAATTATTGCAAGGATTGCCTTCTGACAGATGTGGATGCACATACATGTGTGTGCATGCTGCATGTGTGTTAACACGTTTCTTTCCTCCTGTTGGTGCAGGCAGCGAAGACTGGCTGAGTGGAAAGCAACTCAACTGAAGAATAAGTTTGGAGAAGTTTTGGAGATTTCAGGAAAGGATTATGTTCAAGAAGTTACCAAAGCTGGTGAAGGCTTGTGGGTAATATTGCACCTTTACAAACAAGGGTGAGCTGATCTTCCATGTTGTCTATAAGATGTTGATCAGCATTTGTCTGAACCTGCATTAGGCATAGAAAGGTTTGTTTTTTGTTTTTTTTGGTCAGTCATGGGGCTTGAACTTTGGGCCTGGGCACCATCCCTCAGCTCTTCAGCCCAAGGCTAGCGCTTTACCACACTTGAGCCGTAGTGCCACTTCTGGCTTTTTCTGTTTATATGGTGCTGAGGAATCGAACCCAGGACCTCATGCATGCAAGGCAAGCACTCTACCACTGAGCCCCCTTTTCTTTCTTTCTTTCTTTTTTGTTGGTTGTGGAGCTTGAGCTCTGGGCCTGGGTGCTTTCCCTAAGTTCTTCAGCTCAAGGCAAATACTCTACCACTTGAGCCACAGCGCCACTTCTGGTTTTCTGGTGGTTAATTGGAGAGAAGAGTCTCCGGACTGGCTTTGAACCACAATCCTCAGATCTCAGCCTCCTGAGTAGCTAGGATTACAGGTGTGAGCCACTGGTGCCCGGCAGACTTTGGGTTTTGATTTGTGAGTATGTTCTTAAACTCAGGGCCTCATGCTCTCACTCAGCTTTTTTGCCTATATTATTTTACCTATATTATTTTATATGATCAGAGGCACATAGGCATTGGGTCTTTGTGTTCTTCCCCTAAGGGTTGACTCCTTTAGTCTGACTGTGTGTGAATGCATGGAGTTCTGTGTAGGTTACCATGTCCCAGTGTATTTTAAGTCTACTGTCCACATACTGTTTTTTTTTTTTTTTTTGTTATTTGTAACTAATGTTCTTTATTGCTGATTTTTCCAGATCATAATTCCTAATTTTCACTTTAAGACTTTGAGGTTAATATTTTTGGGTAATTTAAGTGCCCTTGTTAAAGCATAAAATGACCACTTCTATTGTGAGAGAATTCCTGAGTTACCTAACTGTCTAGAGGGTTTTCAAGAGTATCACTGTCACTCTTGTAGGTGGCCGGGGTGACCTTGACCCTGACTGACTGGAGTTACTGGCCTTCAGGGTTCTAGTGTCTTCTTCTGCCTAATCTTGCTCTAGAGTTCACTGTGTGACTAGGAGTTTCTTTAAAGGATGAATGCTTCCTGTCCTAGTGACATTGAGACTTGAATGGACAGAGCAATTATCTTTTATATTGAAGCCATTAAGAATTCATGCTGGTTTTAATTATTTTGATTCGCTCCTTTTTTTTTTTTTTTGGACAGTACTAGGGTATGAACTCAGAATCTTGTGCTCTTCTTCTTGAGCCACATCTCAGTCCTTTTTTCTTTTTTAATTTTTCAGAATAAGTTCTGCTTTGTGTCTGGACTAGCCTGGACCTCAGCCCTTCTATTTATGCCTCCTACATTGCTTGGATGAGAGGCATGCATGCTCTACCAAGACATTTATTGAAATGGAATCTCTTGAGCCTCCACTCCCTACCCCTTGGGGCTTGTCTCCAACTGTGATTCTCTTGAACTTAGCTTCCAGACAGAGCAGCTAGGATTACAGGCATAAGCCTGTCTTGCTGTTTTTGTTTTTTTTTTTTTAATTTAATTTTATTGTTAAAGTGATGTATAGAGGGGTTACAGTTACATATGTAAGTTGGTGAGTACATTTCTTGTTGAACATGTAATTGTTTTTTGAGAGTTGTTTGTTCAGTATACATTTGTCTTGCTAGTAGTAAACCCATTGTGAAGCTATCTTGGAGGCATGTTTGGATGGGAGGGAACTGTGCTTTATTCGGTATGTACTGATCATAGTTGCTTCTGTTTTCTATTTCTGTGCTCTAGGATTCCCCTGTGTGCCCTTATAAATCAACACTTCAATGAGCTTGCCAGGAAGTTCCCTGATGTCAAGTTTATCAAGGCCATTTCAACAACCTGCATACCAAATTACCCTGACAGGAATTTGCCCACTATATTTGTATACCTTGGAGGTGATATCAAGGCACAGTTCATTGGTCCCCTGGTATTCGGTGGAATGAATCTGACAAGAGATGGTAAGAAGACTCTGCAGTGAGTGAGGATGTGTGGACGGTGGGGAGTATTTTTAGTCACTCACAATTAACTCCAGATATAATTTGTTTCTTCAGTTGAATGCTCTGTTTTAAGGTGAAGTTCAATATGAGATCCTTAAATTTTTTTATCTAATTCATACATTTACTATTGTTTGTATTTCTCTAATATTTTCTTTCTCTAGTATTTTCTCAGTTGAATTTCTAGTAGCTGTCCTGGTCCTGAGGTGTGAACTCAGCCTGGGCATTCTTTGTTAGCATTTTTGCTCAAGACTGTACTCTGCCACTAAGCCACAGCTCTACTTCGGTTAATTGGAAATAGGAGTCTCACAGACTTTCCTGCTTGGGGCTGTCTTTGAACCACAATCTCCAGATCTCAGGCTTCTAAATAGCTAAGATTATAGGTGTGAGCCACTGGCACTGAGCCTCTACTAATTACACATCCCTTTATTCTGCCTTTTAACTCTGAAAGGACTGTGTTGTCCATTACACATGTAGATGTCTACATATAAAAGAACCTAAGCCAGAGGCATCCCAGCCAAGGAAAGTTTATCTCTTTACTGAGCTAATATATCCACTGGCCTTTAAATATATATCTTGAAACATAACTTTACCACTATGCTACTCACCTGGGAATAGTCAATGTATGGGAGATACATCAGGCAGTTAAACAAACACTATTTCCTTGTCCAAAGACATACAAATTAATAGTATCTGATTTTGATCTCCTTTGTGAAGAGAGAGAGTCCATTTTCTGTTGATGTAACAAAAGGAAAAGTGATTTGCTTTTGGCTGATGATTCTGGAGGCTGGAGAGTCTAGGTACATGGCACTAGTATCTATAGGGCTATGAGGGCTTCATACTAAACCCGTCGGTGTGAGTATGTGGGAGTGGAAGTGGAAAGGGAATCAGGTGTGTGGATGGAGAAGAGCGGCATGGGAGAGGTGCCAGGCTTACTCTTAACAATCTGCTGCCTGCAAAGCCATCTAGTCTGATGAGAAGGAAGGGCGCCAGTCTCTGTCAAAGGCCTAACACCTCTCAAAGGCCCTGACTCCCAACACTGGTGCATTGGAAACCAAAACTCGTATGTTTGGTCATAGACTAAGCACAGGTAAGCCAAAGCAGTGTGCTGTTGTAGCTAGACTTTACTTAGAGAAAAAGACCTGCGGATATTACCAAGGAATAACAACATTAATACACAGTAATTGTGCACATTGTAAAGATGAATACCAGTCACATACTTAATACCATAGGTGTGCATGCGACGATTCATAAATATATTCTTGAGTTAAAATCAAAAATTTTTAAAAGAAATGTGTACTTAGAGTGGAAAATCATTTACATGAATCCCATAACCCAACTAATGAGGTATGATTGACCACAACAAAAGATGCCTATGTGGAAGGTATAGAACATGATTGTTTGATAGGGAATGCAGTGCAAAATGATTGCCACATCAAGCTAATTAATAATCACCATTGCCTTACACTTACCTGTCTTTTCTTTTTTATTATGGTGAAAATACTGAATATCTACTCAACAGGCAAGTGTATTTCAAGTTTATGGTGTGTTATTATTAACAATGGTCACCATAGTGTACATTGGACTTGGGAGGTTATTTGTCTTACATCTGAAAAGTGTGTACCATTGGACCACGATCCCCATTTACCCCTGAACACCAGTAACCACTGTTTTACTCTCAGATTCATGAGTACTTTAATAGGACTTCCAGTGCAATTGGTTGCTGAATGTAGTGAAAGTCCTAAGCAGATCATCCCTGCATTGGCCTGCCTTGTAAGCAGGCTGTTGATTGGCTTCAATGTCTCAGGTAGCCCTGGGTTTTACCTGGGTTCTTTGATGAAATTTGCATCACTTGGTTTTACTTCACCAGGTCTTATTACACTGGTGTGGAATTTCTCTGGTTGAAAGAGAGTGAAATACAAGAGGTTACTGATTCGTCACTTTTTAATGCTTTTATTTTTATAATTTCTAGGGTATCATCATACAAATATTCCTTGACCAAATAGGCGAGCTATTAGACGTGAAGCTGAAAAGTTTCCTGTTGTTAACTAAAATTGGATTTAATGATGAGATTGCCAGCAGATCTGTGGAGATTTTTTTTCCCCCTCCAACTAGAAACCTGCCTCTTTCTTTACTGGGAAATTACCTAAGCTGAGAAACGATAGTAGCTAGAGGACAGATTTATTTTTTGTGTTTACTGTAATTTTTTGTACAAGTTCAAGTCTACGTAGTGTCTCCTTTGATCTTATCATTTGAAAAAAGTGTTTGATAAAAGTATCTGATATTTTCCTTCATAGATATCTAAATTTTTTCCCCATCTCTTTGGGCACCTTAAAATTGTAGCACTAATATTGCCACCAAATTTGGGAGCTTATGTTTTGTACCCAGAACAAAAAGCTGACTCAGTCATGGGCATAATGGTGAGAGACCCCAAGCAGTGCCTTTGGTGACTTTGGTATCTTTGGTGATTGGTTTCTCTGTCTTTTATCATGCAGAGCTGGAGTGGAAACTATCTGAGTCTGGAGCGGTCAAGACAGACCTAGAGGAGAACCCCAAGAAACCCATTGAAGACAAGTTGCTATCCTTAGTGCGGGGCTCTGTCCCCATGAGGAGCGGCAGCAGCTCCGACAGTGACTAAACCAAAGCTTCAGCAGCCATAACTTTTGAACTTTTTTGATGTGACATATAATCTGGATGTATCTTCAGAAGAAAAAAGCAAGAACACATCTTTTTTTTATTTTTTTTAGCCTTTTCACAATTATACTTTAAATGTTATATATTTCAGAAATTAATGCTGGGAATTATATTAAATTTCTGGAAACTTTTAAATTAATAACATTAAAAGCTAAACCAGTTGTTCAAATAAAAAAAATACGTAGGAGGCTGGACACTGCCTCCTGTTACAGGCTTATGCCTGTAATCCTAGCGATTCAGGAGGCTGAGATCTGAGGATCATGGGGCAAAGCCAACCCTGGCTCTTATCTCCAATTAATCACCAGAAAACCGGAAGTGGCACTGTGGTTCAAGTGGTAGAGCACTAGCCTTGAGTTGAAGAGCTCAGGGACAGTGTCCAGGCCCAGAGTTCAAGCCCTGTGACCCACCCCCTCAAAAAAAAAAAATCAGAGTGCACAGTACTTCCTTATTATAGACTTTATTTTTGGCTTTAATTCATCTGTCAGAAGTGTCTTATTTTTTTAAGTTTGAGCTAGTGCTGCTGATGAAAACATGTTTTCTGTAACTGTTTACTTTGAAGGGTGTTCATGAAACTTCAATTGCAAGGTAGAAGCAGCTTGGTGACTTGTGTGTGTGTCACATAACTGGTTGTGTGTGTTTTAGGAGAACTGCCTTCTTAGAGTTTCCTTGGTAGCTGACCTTACAATGCATGTATGTGGTACAAGGGGGAGAAAAGACAAAGAGGGAGGTTTGATTTGGTATTTGCCCAAGAACTGGAATTCACTCACCAAAAGAAGTGTGCTTGAACATGGGCAGTCTCCATAGTGATGGAGAACTTCAAGCTGGGTTCATTCAGGAGCTCAAGCAGCATCTGATTCTAGAATTCACTGTGCCCCATTGATCTAGATTTGAACTGCCCCATCATTTTGCCTCTATTCCAGGAAAAGCTCTTATCAGTGGATTATGGAAGCCTGTGTGGAAGAAGAGTTCAGATGCCTAGGGCATTGGCTTATGAGCCCTATCTGTCTGCATCACTGGACTTAGGCAGAGGTTCAGCTATCTGACTGAACTTGATTTAGAGTAAGAGAGCAGCATCTTTATCCTAAACCTGGACTTGTGATTTGGAACCTGAGCTGCTAACATCCTCAGCTATTTTCTAGGAGGCATCCCTGTAGTATTGCCATTTCCCTCCTGTTTTCTTTAGAGCATCAGCAAGATGACTCATGCCATGAAACTTGGTTCTTTAGCACTGAGGTCATAACTCCACAGCAGGTAGACAGGGAGGGGGGGGGGGGGGAGTGAGAAATGGTTCCAGAATTGGGATACTAGATGGGAGAAAAGACATGGTTTAGACTATGTGGTCTCACACTGTTGATGCTGTCTGTTGTCTCCTGCTTTGTGGAGGGGAAAGATGTTAGATTGCCCACACATACCCCATTGCAGCCTCACTACATTCTCATGCCCACCTCCCAGGGATGTCAGCAAAGATGTACTTGAGAACAAGAGAAAAGAAAAGGCTCTTCAGTTAGGTATCCTCTGAACCAGGCCAAACTTCTTTTTCATTTCTTCCAGCTTTAAATCTAGCTTTGTTATAATGACCCCCAAGTTTTTGTCAGCATACTAATCAAGTGTGGCCAATGTGCTGTGCCTACACTGCTTACTTTGGAAGCATGCCCCAACAAAAGTTATTTCGCCCTTTGCATCAAAATGAGATGTTTGGATAAGTGGCTCTCAACTCATTCTTTTTTGTTTTGTTTTGTCGGTCGTGGGGCTTGAACTCTGGGCTTGGGCACTATCCCTCAGCTCTTCAGCTCAAGGCGAACGCTCTACCGCTTGAGCTACAACACCACTTCCGGTTTTCTAGTGGTTTATTGGAGATAAGAGTCTCACAGACTGTCCTGCCTGGGCGGGCTTTGAACTGTGAGATCTCAGCCTCCTGAATATCTAGGATTACAGACATGAGCCATCGGTGCCCGGCTTCTCAACTCAACTCTTGATGTTTCTTTCCATTCATGTATCTGAAGCACTAGTCATTACCTACTTTGCACACTGCTCTCCTACAAAGTGCCCTCCCAGCCGGTCCTGTGGAAAAAGTAAGCTGTCAGGAATCTGCGATAGGAGGTAAGAGTAGGATGGGAGGGTTGAATAGATAAGGTGCATGGGAATTTTAGAGTTGAGACTAGTCTGATAAATCCAATAATGATAGGGATAAGACAACTGGCATTTACCATCCATAACTCATGGACCTCAATAGGACAGGGTCCATCTTAGGATAGGCAAACTGTAAAAACCATTTAGGACTCTCAAATGGAATGCAGAGCATGGCTTCACAGAAGGAAGTAGGAGGAAGAGGTGCAGTCTGTAGTGCCTGCAAGGGGAAGAGCCAAAGGATCTGTGTATAAGTGCTGTGCTCCAGTAGATAAAGTGATTACTTTGGGTTAGTAATACTTGTATACTAGGAGGGAACAATTATGTAACTGGACAGCAGGTGGCAGGAGGCTGATTTACAGATAAGAGAAGGATAAGAGAATGACAAGTAGTGTTGAGCTCATGTTTAGCTTACAGGTGGCTAGAGACACTTAGTGAATATACACTAGTTAGCATTCTTGTATATATTTCCTTGCTCCATCAATTGAGGGGTTTAAAGGGTACATCTCAATAGTAAAGACCATACCTGGCGCTCATCTTACTTTCTAATCCTATTCTCTAGTTAACCAAGGATGCTTGGAAAAATACCAGATTTTAAAGCTGGAAATAGAGATGATCCTGGAGCATCAGGTCATGCCAGATGTGCTAAGCAATAAACATTTCCAAACCAGGATGATAGGCATATATCAAAGGCATCCAGGAGCCAGTTGACATACCTCCCAGGGGCTACATTTGGAATAATTTGAACAATACAAATACTGAATTGCAGCCCTAAGTATAAAGTCCATGACCATACAGATTATAAGCTGTCTCCCATGCAGAATTACAAGTAATACTGTAGATTCTCAACCCTTAAGAAACTCCTATCAGCTGGATTGTACGTAGTTACTTCCTTCCAGAAAGAAGGAAAATACAGGGCAGAAACCCAAAGCTAGCTCTGTAGGTGGTCCAAGTCGAAGTCAACCATTGTGAGCCATGTTGCTAGTGTGGCCTCTGGACATGATGTGGTGAAAGTGATACTTCTGATTTTCCTTCGAAGAAACCCATAATCAAGTTGGAATCATCTGAAAAATCTAAACTGAACATTCCACAAAATAGATGACCAGAACTCTTCACCATTGTCAGTTACCAGACACAAGTTTCTGAGAAACTGTCCTGGCTAGGAGACATGCATGCCTACCAAGTGAAATGTGGGGTCTTGGGTGGGGTTCTAGAACAGATAAATGAAAATAGGAACTTGGAGTCAGTATGAGCTTCAGTTAATAATCATGTGTCATACTGATTGTTTACGCTGGGTGCCATTTGTAACGCTAGCTCCTCAGGAGACTGAAATGTGAGGACTGCAATTTGAAGCCAGCCTGGATAGGAGTGTTCATGAAGCTCTTGCCTCCAGTTAACCACCAAAAAAGTCAGGAGTATAGTTGTGGCTCAGGTTTTTAGAGTGCCAGCCTAGAGAATAAAACCTCGAAGACAGTGTTTAAGTCCCAGGATTGGCACACACACACACAATATTTTTATGTGTAAGAAATATACGATTTTGATACACATTAACCAGAAAACGGGGTGTCATTCCCTATTTCTAATTTTTCTATTAATTTAACAATTCTAACAATAGTTTATTTGAAATAGAGTAGCTCTTCAACTCAGCAAAATGGAAATGGTAATTAATATACAAAGGGAATGCTCATTTCTTGATTGCTCAAATATTTTGATTAGTTTATATTAGCTATAGAGAGGTGTATTACATTTTCTTTCTTTTTTTGTTTTTCTTTGCCAGTCCCTGGGCTTGAACTCAGGGCCTAGGCACTGTCCCTGAGCTTCTTTTGCTCAAGGATAGCACTTTACCACTTGAGCCACAGCACTACTTCAGGTTTTTTCTGTTTTTATGGTACTGAGGAATTGAACCCAGGGATTGATGGGTGCTAGGCAAGCACTCTGCCACTGAGCCAATTCCTAGCCCAGGTGTATTATATTTCTACAAATATTTACAAGTATATTCCAATCAATCTTACCAGTTGATCTAAGTGGGGTTTTTTGTTTTGTTTTGGGTGGTCGTGGGGTTTGAACCCTGGGTCTGGGCGCTGTCCCTCAGCTCAAGGCTAGCACTCTACCACTTTAGCCACAGCACCACTTCTGATTTGCTGGTGGTTAATTGGAGATAAGAGTCTCACAGATTTTCCTGCCCGGGCTGGCCTCGAACCAAAATTCTCAGATCTCAGCCTCCTGAGTAGCTAGGATTACAGGCGTAAGCCACCGGCACCCTGCTTCATCTAAGCTTTTTAAGAGTATGTTGGAACTGCAGGGCCATATGTGTTTTGGTTTGGATCTGCCCAGATTCAAGGTCTGAGTGAGGACGTAGATGAAGGGTTTGAGAAGCGAGACCAGGCTGCAGGAATAGGGGCTGGAGAGGGAAATGTGATGGGGGATAGCTGATAAGGGTGAGAATTGAAGGGGAGTTCTGGAGACAAAGACCTCTTAAGAGTTATCCACCCACAGATGGGAGCCTGGATTGTGTGTTTCTCCATCCAAGCCAAGTGGAGGGCTTCTCCCAGGGGAAGTAACGGAGCTTCTGGCTGGGTTTAGGCCAGAGCAGAGCCATAGGAAGACTGGGCAAACAACCTTGAGGCTGCTGCTCGCAAGGTGGGGTTCTGAGTGTGCAATAGCCTGTAATAGTCAAGTATAGGTTTAACAAACCATCTATCCGTCTTGTACATATGTGGAAAGAAAAACAATAAGAAAATGAACTAGATAAAGTAATCCAGCTTGTCTAGATGCTGACACTTTCTTGATTCTACCAGAAGGTGGCGCAGGATGACAACTTGATCCCAATTACCATGGCTCAAGGGCAAGTGTTAGAAGCGCCCTGACCTTCAGAGATGTTCAAAGCCAGGAGAGAGTGCTTAGAATTGCTGAAATAATGTAGTTTTATCCCACCCCGGGTGAAAGTGTTTGGGGCTGTATTCACTTAACCATTCCAGCTGTTAATTTTGAAAGCAGATAACTAATGCTGAG